TCTTCTTCTTCTTCTTCTTCTTCTTCTTCTTCTTCTTCTTCTTCTTCGGAGAGTCATCCATCCCATCAGGAATAGCCATCAGGAATCCACCTCCTGCAAAATTGCAAAATTGAAATGCTATTAAGAAGAGATCTCAGCCTTAAAAAGTACAATATTCAAAACATCTCTTCTTTGTTCAAATAAATAAAGAGTATATATATATTTATAATTTTAGTTATTTAAACATAGTAACATCAACCTATATAAAGTGTCCTTTAACTTTCTTACTGAACAATATAATCAAGATAATTTTTGATAATAAGCAAACACTATAAAAGAAATACTTTTATGTGTTAACCTATCATGATAACAATTTAGTTAATTTGTACAAAGGCCTAACAGGTTATTTTGTCTGTAAAGCAAATTATTGTTGATGGGGATAGGGGTTGTTAGGAAACTGTTTTTTTTTTTTTTTTTGCTTACCTTTTGGAATCAGTGAGTTTGTCCTCCACACTCAGTTGGCATCCAAACTTTCTTGCATTTATAACAGATTTTGCGCCATGGAAAATTAGTGGCCTTACACTGTGTGCAGATCCAATTCACCCGAGAGTGTGAGCCGGACTGGGATTCAGAAGCTGCTTCCATTTGTGGCTTCTTGTCCTTTTTCTGCAGCTGAGGTTGCTGTTTCTTTGGGCTTTCTCTCACAGCTTGGCTCCAGCTCTTCCACACAGGGGTTGATGGGGTCTCCTCCATATCTTCTTCCTTGATTTGACTGCTACTGGAGGACAAGGAAGCTGGAACTGATGCTTGGGGACTAGCTTCACTTTGGCTATGGAGCTCACCTTGCTCAGGAAGGTGTAGTTCCTGGAGATCCTGAAGATCTACATCGCTGTCATATTCTTTTTCCACCTGCTGCTCCTCCTCTTCCTGTTCTTCCTCTTCTTTGTCTGCATCTTCTGCTGTGTCTGTTGTTTCTTCTGTTTCCCCTGGTGCTGCCTCTGCTGCTACTGCTGATGTTGCTTCTGGTTGTTCATTTTCTTCTTCATTATCATTTTCGACGTCCACTGGGCTAGCCATATCCTGGACTCCTTGTTGATCTTGCCCTTGAGTGTGGCTTCTGATGTCTCCCAAGGTATCTGTCTCCTGGCGCTTCTCTGAGTTTCCCTCCTGGCTGGAGTCTCTGGTGTTCTCTGCGGGTACAGCACGCTGGGCCGGAGGACCTTCAGTAGCTGTGTAGCATCTCTGGTCCCACAGATTAGCTGGTTCCTGGGAGCACGGTGCAGTAAAAGGACCAGGATACACAGGAGGCATCTGAACTGGAACTACAACACCTACTTCTGTTTCCATGACTGCTGAAGGTGAGAAGGGCATCAAGAATGGAGACTCCACTAGGAATGGTGGATGTGGTGGGAGCTGATATGGCACTGGGACTGGCACAGTTGGTTCCATGGCCGTGGGCCAGGGACTTGTGCTTCCTGGCATGTAAAATACATTCGTTGCAGCTGACATTTGTGCCTCGAAATACTGTCTGTCGTATGCACTCACTGCTCCCATAACTCTTGCATGATCTGGACTCAGGGGTACCACTGAAGCCCCAAGCTGTTGAGTTTGAATACCGGGCACTATATCATGAATCAGAGGAGCCATCTGGACTGATCTTTCAACATGGTGCAGCCTCCTGCGCAACAGATCACACTCTCTCATAGCCTGGTGTAGGGCGGCTTGAGTAGAAATCAATTGGTTGACCACCTCCTCTCGCTGTTGACGGAGCTGCGACAACTCTGAGACTGAGGCCCTGGGAGCCGAGGGGCGCTGGCCCAATGCATCTTGTGGCAACCCAACCATATAAGCCTGCTGCTCACGCTGCCTTGCTGCTATGCGCACACTCAGTGCCAGGGCACTCCAGGTACAGGCCCTTTTGAGAGAGCGTGGCACCTGAGGATCTATCAAAATGGCGCGAAGCTGGTCTTCTATCTCATTCCAGGGCCGCATGCGGAAAGCCATATAAAATTCAGGCCCACCTCCATTCATGAGGATTTCATTGTTAATAAATCTAATCACTTCACTATAGCGAAAGCCACTGGAGTGGTCGCCCAAGTCCATCGCCATGGTCAATGCGGCCTAGTCACGCTAGCGCGCCTGACAGAATTCTGCCGCTGTCTCTCAACTGTCACAGATAAAGGCTGTGCCACCAATCCCGTACCCCTCTTCCTACTGGCTCAGTCCTAAACAAGTTCTTGCCCAATCTCACAAAAGAACAAAGCCGATCCTCTCACCACCTCAGCCTCCTCCGGACGACGTCTAGGACCACAGGCGGTTGAAGACCTTAATGGCAACGAAGTGCCAACGGTAACTGATAAACGGTCAACTTAGAACATCATAACGTCATCAGCTTAAACGTCACAGAGAGCACGCCCCTCCCCTCGGCACAGCGCTACCTACAGGTGGCCGTTAGGGACAACAATGAACCACCAGCCACCGGCTTGGTTAACTTGAGCTTGGGAAAGAAAATAGCCAAGACAAAGCAAAGAATTCATAGCCACACATTAGAGTTGAATACGAATGCATAAGGGCTGCTTATAGTTCATCTATGACTCACAATCTCTTTTATTATGGTTTAGGTTTTACTGTTATGAGTCCATTGGTAGAGAGCTTGCCCTGGATTAGGTAGCAGAACGCTCTGGGTTTCATCTGAAGAGCAGTAAAAATAGTTGATACTTAGCATTCTTTTAAGCTAGCCTAGGTGACTGACATCTGCAATCCCAGCATTCTGGAGGTTTAGGCAAAAAGAATACAAAGGGTTCTAGGGTAGATTGAGCTACAGAGTGAGACCTTACGTTAAAAAAATTCACAAGGATAATTATAATTTGGGAATGAAGTAAGCCAATTTCAGGACAGACACTATTTTTCTGGGTTTTTTTTAGCCTCTCAGCCTCCCATATACCTCTCAGACCCCTATCTCTTTCAAATTCATGAGCACTTTTTTCATTTGTTTAAGCATATATATATATATATATATATATATATATATATATATATATAAATGTATATTTTATATCATATATTAATATTAATTATATATGACATATAATTGATTATCTATTAATTATACTTATTATAATTATATATTTTATACTATATAATTAATATTGATTATATATTTATTCCTAAATATAACATGCTCAGTCCATATATTGCTCTTTATATGAATGTTTTCAGATATGTAGTTTTAATTTTTTTCTAATTTTATCTGATTAGTAGTACTGTGTGCCTACGTCTGTGATGTGTAAGAGACCACGCCCATGGTGGTCAGAAGACAATTTTGTGGAGCTGGTTCTCTCCTTCCACCTTTACATGAGTCCTCAAGCTCCGGGTCAGGCCATAGGCATGCACAGTGAGTGCCTTTATTTGGTGAGCCGGCTTTCCAGATGCACCTCAAATACATTAATAGCATGTTTTCTCAAATCTTTTGTGGGTCTTGACTTCTACATATCTGAGATCATATATGTACAGATGACATGAAAATAAAAGAAAAACTGGAGAACAAAGATAAAAAGAGAGGGGAAGTAAAGATTGTAAACAGGAGTAAAGAAGGAATATTCTCAAAGTACATTATATACCTTTATGAAAATGGCCTTACAATAATATTTTTGAAAAATTCACCTTTTACACTCTTTGTGTGTGCGCGCGTGTGTGTGTATGTTCAGACACTTGTCAGGTCAGGGGACAGCAACTTACTGTAGTCAGTTCTCTTTTGACCAAGTGAATCCTCAGGTCATCATCAGTCTTGGCCGCAACAGCTTTCTAAGCAAGCTCTTCAACACCATCTTAGACTCTTTAGTAAGTTACTACTCCAGTCCTTCCAAAATGACAGCCCTGACATCTGCAAATGTCCTTCCTCCTCCAGAGAAGGCTAACTCAGAATGTCTGTCATTAAAAAAAACTAGTAACTAAACCGTGAAACCTCTGACCTTTCATCAGTTACTCACTTCCACGAAGCCAAGAGTGGTGATGCACAGGTATTATCCCAACATATGGTTTTTCCCAGAGATGTTCCATGTGCTTCTGAGAAAAAATACCTGTTTGTTATAAATTACCTGTTAGGCCTATTTTTAAATAGTATTTTTAAAGCTACCATTTTTCTATTAACACCCCAAACAATCTTTCATTGCATCCTTAAATGTGAAATATTAGTCTCTAACTATTGTAAAACTGCTTAATATCCTTATAGTATATCTACTCATATGTAGTTGGGGACTTTTTGGTTAGGTTCCTCTATGCTTATAATAATTCATCTTTTGATACATTATTTTACATTATTTGGTATGACATTTCAATCTGGTTGCTTTAGATCCAGCTTCTTAAACTGTGGAATTTTTGGAATCATTCAGTCAAATGTGAGGATGAAAAAAATTGACAACAGTAAAAGGATTTTGAATGCAATGACAAAAAAATTCAAAAACAAATCTATAATGAATCCAAAATGTTTCTGGAGTACTCATCTGTGTTGTACCTAAGCACACAACATGTACTCTGCAAAGCATGTGCTGTCACACCATAGAGCACCAATAAGTGATACCTGAATGACCTAGACTCAGGTTTGAGACTCCTTTATGCTTTGAATTTTATATGTTGTTCTTTTTTAAAGAAACATGCAAATTTTCTTTTCATATAAAACCATGATGACTTAACTGTTGAAAACTAAGAATTTTAATATCTGCTTAATATGCATCAAATTAATATATCACTGAATTATATTGTATTAGAATGTTTGCTTTTTAAAAATGTTTGAATTTCTGAATTTCATTTAAAAAGTTACTCCTCCTGTGAATTTTGGCTTGGGATTAGGATAGAATTTCCAATAACTTTTGAAATAGCCCTAAATATATTTCTCTCATTTTATACTATGTATTTATGTGAAATGGTAGCTTCAGCATTGATGGTTATAAAATAAAAAAATAGTAATTAACTCTGAAAGTGTTGAAGATGCTCTATATTCTGCAGGATCAACTAGTCAGACAAGATTTAATTCTTCATATAAAAATAATCAAGTACATCCATCTCATCACCATGTAAATTTGCTTTCATCTTTAATAAATAATCAATTTATATATCTACCAAAGAAGTGTTTTATAATACATTTCTTTATGATTTATTATCAGTAGGTGTTTGATTTTTGTATACCTATTTTACATATCCATCCACCCAGGTTGTGAAAGAATTCTTCGGGAAAAAATGAATTGGTAACAGAAAAAGTTTAAGAAACCCTCCTCTAGATAAAGTCTTTTAACAGACTATCTGCTCCAATGGACTTAGGGAGTGAGTCCTGCAATCATGGCGGCTTTTGTGTTCGTAGCCTACCAACATATCTTTCCACACTCTGCCTGCAGTTATCCTTGGAAGATATTCCACATTCCTGGGATTTCTTTTTGAGAGAATATGTTTCAGCTAGTTTCACTCTCACAGTTTCTCACCTAATCTCCTCCTGCTCTCCTATAGGGACCTTTCCTTTGCACACATTGCCTGGCCTCCCCTGACTTCTTTTGAAGCATGGGTAGAGGGCCTCCAGGATCCTCTAACACTGAATTTTTCATACTTGCCAATCCACAATCACATGGATGAGGCCAAGATTGTTACCAACATAATCACTAGCCTTTCAAACTCAGCTGCAGTGGCCTCGAAGTGTTTGGGATGCTGTGGACATTGAAACAAATTCTGGTGTAACAACTTCCTTGGTATAACCAAGTATAACCTTAATTTATTTTGAAATAAATTCAGAGTTTATTTTACATCAAGTTTTCCCTGTTTTTTTTTTTGTAGGTAGTATAGCAGCTATCCTTATTTTTGGAGCTTTTTTATATGATGTTTCTATATTTGGTATGTCTGTTATTATTTACTCTTCTCTGAGTGGTATTGGCAATTGAGCCCTCAAGAACAGGCTGTTCATTAAGAACTTCCATATTAACCTGGAAGAGACATATTTCCTGACAGAAATAAATCTTTTTCTTCTTCCTTTTTATTTATTCATTAATCTTTTTTTTTTACAGTTCAGTCTTTATCCCCCTCTTGGTCTGCCCTCTGACTGTTCTTCATCCCATACCTCCTCCTCCTCCATCTCCAAGAGGATGTCCCCATTCCCTTACCCCTAGCCCACTAGACTTCCCCACTCCCTTGAGCCTCAAGTCTCTCAAGGGTTAGGTGCATATTCTCACACTGAGGCCAGACTAGGCAGTCCTTTGCTGTATATGTGTCAGGGGTCTCACATCAGCTAGTGTATGGTGCCTGGTTGGTGGCTCAGTCAGACACAAATGTTAAATACAAATAAAGTATGAAAAACAAGTCACATGAATCCTCTTAAGATTCACCACCCTCCAAGAAGCAAACGCAAACTTATTGAAGTAAGTAAAATATCAACAAATTCAAAAGTTTACATTAAAAAAAAATGATCCAAGAGAACCCAGATTCTGAATGACAAAACTTCCATGTTGGTCATAACTTCTAATGTTTGTATTGATGTAAATAAGGGGGGTTGAAAATGGTTATGAGATGAGAAAGGAGACTACTGGAGGGGAACAAAAGATGGTGAGGAAGTGGAAGAAGGACAGAAGGCCACCTGTGGCGTGAAGGCAGACATGTGTCTGCTGAGGTTGGGAGGGCATAAGAAAGAAAGAAGGATGGGAGAATGTGCAGTCACCAAAGGTAGATGCTGATGTGGAAG